GGGAGGGGGAGGGGGTGTTGAGTGGTTGGGGTGGGTGGATTGGAAGATTGTTTGTTTAGGGGTCGGAGAGGGGGGAGGATGGGTGGAATAATGGGATGGGACATTACAGAGCAGAGGGCAAGTTAATGAGATGTGGATGAAGAAGAATAGGAGATTAAAGGATAATATTTTAAAGGGCAGGTTGGGATTAAACATTTTTTTTAAAGGGAGGGTGGGAGGGTTGGAGAAAAAAAGTGGGTGGAGTGGGGTGGGCAGAAGGGGTAAAACAGGGGTGGGGGAGAGAGAGAAACAACACTGCGTTTGCAAGCATGCATCAGAATACTGAATGTCAACCCCTACACATGATTTTGATGGGAAGTGACGAAATGGTCTACCATACAAAACAAAAAGCCATGTTGACATTCCTTTCAATGCAAATGGTTAAGTTCCTTTTACCTTGAACTTATTAATAAAAAGAACAACAACCGTTGAACCAAACGTTTTCACTTCAAGTCAGATTTTATACATAGCAGTCTAAAGCTGGGAACCAGCTTTAAGTTAGTGTAGTCAATTGTAGCTTGAGGATGGCCTCGCTATCACAATGCATTTGCAGTTAAAGCCTTTCAAGTGAGCTCAGTCCAAGCTGGCACAGATTGTATAGAGGTGAAGGGCCCACAATGGTGATTTACATGGTCAGAAAGGTTAACACATATTGAGGTCTATTGAGAATATTATCATCTTTGAATTAGGACTTGGAGTTATTGTTATTCTCTTCTAAGGATTAAAAAAATTAATCGGGAATTTGTTTGGTTCCCCTTATAAAAACAAAACCCTTCAATTCAAAAAGATGGGATGAGATGTTAAACAGATTTCATTTATCAGGCATCAAAAGTCTGATATCCTTCAACACTTAAAACAGTGACACAAAAAATGAATCTATTTACGAAATTACTTTTCAATATTCATCAATAAGAAAGAAATGACTGAAATGTATTTGTAGAATTACTGTTCAATATTTTCTAAAGATGAAGATTGCATCAGAGACACCATCATTATTGATAATTTAAAAATTAAATATTTTTCCTCCCGTAAAGCCAAGATGTATACATCCCCAAAGGTAGTCTCCTGTGACAAGTTACTGATTGTTTATGAAAAAGACTTTTCCATCACTTCCAGGTACGGGGATCTACATCAGGGCCATTCCGTCAAAAGTGAAACCAGAGACACCCATAAAACAAGGATGATGACCAGCTAAAAAAATATTTAACCAGTGACAAAGCAATTATTTATTTTTATTTTTTGCTATATAATTTATTTTTTTTGGTAAGAATTTTACAACACTTGCAACACAATAAGGTCAAATAAGTGCAGAAGATTAGAGGTGTTACAAGAGAGTAACAAACAGAAAAGAGAAGGGGAGAGATCAGGATAGCTGTTTGATAGGAAAGGAGTAAATCCCACCAGAGCACCCACATCCCACCTGCTTTGTAAGAGGCAAAACCTTCTTCAACAACAACAAAAAAACAACAAAAAAAAAAAAGAAAAAGAATGGCTCTCTCACAGCTAAGAATCATTTTCAGTAAGTCATCATTCACGCAATATGTTTGTCACTACAATTTCATTTTTCATGGAATGGCTTATCAGGGAATGTAATGAACTAAGACACTCACTAAAATAGCATATGAATACACACTGCCAAGACCCCTGGTGGTGATTCTATATGAACACACAACCGTGGGACATACAAAAATTGCCAAACTTCCCTAGATTCTAAGTTGGTGGACCGAGCATGTATGGACCTGAACTATAAATGCAAAAATGCCAATGTGCTATTCGGGTTACCTACAACTGAACACTTTATAGATCAATTTTCAAAGGTCCTATTAAACATATCTATATCGAAATTGCCATAGTCATTGTTATCTCCCCCCT